GTGTTTTTCTATTCACAAAGGATCTTTCTAGCCAAGGGGAAAACACTGTTCCAATTTGAGATGTCGCTGGAATTGTTTCTTCTCTCCTTTTCCTCTAGTTTTCAGAGAACCAGTACCCATTTGGAAAAGTAATATGGATGCAAAAGTGAAGAGAGCTATGCAGTGCTACACCTCAACAAGGCCATTGAGTGATGAGAGCCGTGCGAAGAGAAAAGCATCATATAATGACATGAAAAGAGGACACTTGAGGAATGACTTAGAGCTAAAACAGCTGCCACCTGGTATTTGGCATTTGTAACGTATAGGAAGAAAGAGCCCCTGGAAACTGAAAAGTACAAACAACTCTTTGCAACAACAAAATTCAGAACCCAAGAACATGTTTCCTTGTCTTTCTTTTTTGAAAGTTAACCTATTAGTATCATTTCCACTTTACAAAAATGTGAAACCCTGAAACACTGTATAATTCCAAAACACTGTCCACAGGTTGATTTCAAAGGAAGCGAGGAGTACCTTTCATTATACTAGGTTTTCCTAATCAGACTTGTTTACTTGAAGATACTTTACTACTGTTTGATTATCCAGACCTGTGATTTTTACATGTAAATCATTAATTCAATCCTTAGGGAACATGAAGGCGAGGATAATGTGTTGAAATTTACATCCATCAGTTTTGCTGCTGGTAAAACGTCTATTAGGAAAAAGGTTTCAAATCCTGGAATTGAAAATAACTGATGGTTTTAATATGTGTGCTTTTATGATTTCTTTACCATTCGGCTCACTGAGATGCTGTTCTAAAGTTGCTTTATTCTAGAGCTGCTTCTCTCCCTTGTCCACTTGGTCAAGGTGGGTGGTGATGTTTCCTCCATCCAATACATATTTATTGTGTATTGACTGCATCCTAGGGGTGGGGGCTACAACGCTGAAGGGGGGCAGTCTGTATTCTAGGAACACCCAGCCTAGAATGGGAGAGACAAATACGTTGGCAATTATAATAACGTGGGTTGAGAGTAAGGTGCAGGTATGCCCTTGGGAGCACCATGGAAGAATATAATCCATTGGGACTTAGAACAGTGGGAAGGATGGGATCTGTTATCTGAGTCAAGAAAAACTGAAGCATGCCCAGGGAATACTGCCTCTGATATCCTGTGAGCCATCTCTGCTATGGAGAACCCCACATTTCTTTTACAATTTATAGAAACAAACAGAAAAAATGAATGAGCAAATTAGTTTAAACCTCACCATATTTTTGAGAACCAGTACTTTACATCTCTCTCAACACCTTGAAGACATCAGTAGTACTAACTGTTAGGAAGAGTCTAGCAAAAAGTATAGGGTTGGGGTTTGCTGGATCATTTTCAAGTCATCAGTTCACAGACTCACAGAATGTTAGTGCCACAACAGTACGAAGATCTCATCTTTGTCAGTGCCAAACCTTCACAGAGGAGTAAACCGAAGCTCAGAGTCCATGAAAAAAAAAAAAATGACCACTGAAAGATTAGAAGTAATTTTTTCCTGCTGTTTCTCTTCTATATTTAGCTGGTAGGTCACCTGAGAAGAGTGGGAATATGACACCTTTAGAGGATACGTTCTGCTTATGTACACATGTACTCATAATTTCTTCACTTATCTGTTTGGACTGAGTCAGCCAAAAACTCTCCTCTGTTTCCTCTCTATGTAGATACCCATTTTCAGTGGACACTGTGACAGGAAAGCCATAGGAAGGGGACAGAGTGTCCGTCTTTGGGGATCAATTTTTGAAATTTAATTGACAGACTAGTATCAATTCCATGTCAACAGAGATGGAAATTACAGTAATTATATTTCAGGATATGAACAAGCAGAGACAATTGTGTTTGTGCTGGAATAGATGCCCAATGGACAGTGTGCAAATGGAATATTAAGAATTATTAAAACAACAAATAGCTATTATTTCATAAAGTTACTTATATTTCAAAGATCTATGCTGCCAATATAGATTTTAAGTGAGAAGTGTCCTTCTTTAACTCTTTCAAAGCTGATGGAACAGAAGGTGAAAAGTCTAATTTAGGCCCATTCTGGTATGTCAGAATCTCCTAAATATGACATATGAAAAAGGAAAGTGTGATAAATAATTATTTTTTCTGTATTCATAATATGATACTATAGCAATGATGTCTAATAGAGATATAATACAAACCATGTATGTAATGTTACATTTTCTAGTAGTCACATTTAAAAAGTAAAAAGAAATGGTAAAAATCATTTTTTAAATGTTTACTTATTTTTGAGAGAGAGAGAGAGACAGAGTGCAAGCTGAGAAGGAGCAGAGAGAGAGGGAGACACAGAATCTGAAGCAGGCTCCAGGCTCCCAGCTGTCAGCACAAAGCCTGATGCGGGGCTTGAACTCGTGAATCGAGAGATCATGATTTGAGCCAAAGTCGGACACTTAACTGACCAAGCCACCCAGACGTCCCAGTAAAAATACATTCACAAGCACAAGGACTGTATCTGTCTTTAACAATGTGCCTGACACATAGTGAACACAAAAACAGCTAAATGAATTAATAATTGAACTCTTCCCTTAGCCATTATATACTTGTTTCCATGACATCTGCACACAAGAGATCATGATGATCTGCCATGAAAATAGATGCTACAAGGCATAGAAAGAGTATGGGATTCTTACATTCTTCCTTTTCCCTTTCTTTTTTATTAAAAAAATACTATTTCCCTTCCATTTCCTTGAGAGATTAGGGTTGACAAAGTTAAAAACACACAGGGGCAAGGAGCAACTAAGTAAATGGTTTGAGAATAATAGGAACCAGGCTATCCCCACTGTTGGGTAAGGGAGTTATAAACATGGGAACAGCAAAAGCTAGAATAACCCCTATGTTGGAATGGGACTGGAGCTATCATTGTGATCTAGTATTTAATAGAGAGTGAGAGACAGAGAGAGAGGGGGGAAGAGGGAGAACCGAGAAACCATGAGCATACCTAGTCCAGTGAGTGCACCCAATGCCCAGATCTCGGTTTCTATATACCATTTTCCATTATGGACCCAGATCTCCTTGAAGATATGGTGAGTTCCAGGGCTAGGTAGAATAAATATAAGATGCATATGCTACATTTTTTTGTGCCTAAAAGCGAGGAAGTACTCAAAAAATGATGCGGACTTGTGAAAAGAACACAAGAGCCAGCTTGAAGGGTCTTCCACTGGCCAAATTGAGATCATCTTGGTATCGAGATAATGATATTAATGGATTATAACCCACTGAATAGAATAGAAATCTGTAAGTGCATATTGATATAAATGAACAAAAAATAGGGGGATACTTTGAGAATATATAAGTATATTGCTCCTAACTAAACTTTCTACTTTAAGGAAGTTTAGTTAGGAGCAATATACTTACATATTCTCAAAGTATCTTCCCACAAAATACTTATTTTTTACAAACTGAAAAGGTGTAACTTCACAGTGGAGATATCTGGCAGATGCCACCTTCACCAAGTGGTGTGGGTCCTGGTATGGACAAACTCTGCTTATGTATCTCCTGATTTGATTATGAGAAGAATAGAGCATTGCTCCTGTGATATTCCTGCCCAAAAATGCACACATTCAGTCTTGTAATGAGAAAACATCACACACTCCTAGATTGAGGAACATTTTACAAAACGTACTCTTCAAAATGTCACATGGCAAAACATAAAAGGAAAGATCAAAGAACTGCTCAAGACTGAAGGAGAAACATGACAACTAAATGCGATATATAATCCTATCCAAAAGAAAAAAAGAATTTTTTTCCCTTATAAAGGATATTAATGAGACATTTGGTGAAAAGATGAAGGGAACTATAGATTAGAAAGTAGTATCATTTTAGTGTTAGTTTACTGAATTTGACTGTTATAATGTGGTTATGTATAGCAGTGTCCTCAAATCATGCTGCACACCCAAAACTAATATAATGTTACATGTCAATTACATCTCAATAAAAGAAAAAAAGAAAAGAGCACTTGTCTCTTAGGATAATCACACTAAAGTGTATGAATTGATTCAGAAACAATATACACACATAAGCACATGGAAGGGAGAGGAGGAGGGGGAGGGCCAAGGAAGGGGAAGAGGAAGACAGCAAATGTGGTAAAATGTTAAAAGCTGGGAAAACCTGGGTGAAAGTATACGTGAACTCCTTATTATTCTATTATCTTTTCTGTAAGTTTGAAGTTACTTGTATCTTAAAGATAAAGAGCATGGGTTATGGAGTGACTCAAATCCAATTCTGAGAGCCTGGGGAAGTTACTTAATTATTTTCAGCTTTGGTCTTTTCATTTGATCACCAATATAGGACTTGGAGGGATGTTGTGACGATTTAATGATGTGCAGATTGAGTATCTGGCCGGTGGTGGGCTTATCTGGTAGAGGACCTGATACCTAATGCGTGACGCAATACATACTTGCTAAACAAATGAACAAGCTCCTTCTTCCTGCCCCTCCTCCTTCAACAGGAACAAGCGATACCACTTACAGAAAATTAGATTCTGCAAATTTTAGCAATCTAAGGTATGAGATTTCTCTTAACAACAGAATATAAAACAAAGAACTTGATTAATAATAATAAATACCATCCTACACTAAGATGTTGCTCTGGAGCTTCCTCAGCACTTTGTACTCACATCTCATCTCATATGACACTGAATGGAACAGGCAGGCATTCAAGTTAAAGTTCAGCATTGCGTTAATAATAGCGAATCTCTTACAGAGCCTTGGGTTACAACTGTCAAAGAAGAGGTCATGCCCTTGTTACTTAAATCCCCAAACAAGGCTTGCATCAGTTCATGGTTGCAGGGTACAGAATGAGGTGCAATTTAATGTCCATTTGGACATTTATTTCTAAGATGCTGGCACCGTTGATTGTCTGTGGTTCACACTGTATTTGGGGCAGTGACAAGGCAGAGAAAGGGACTCAGGTTGTCCTGGGAGGATTCTTCTCTCAGCCAAGATGTGCATGTGAATTTGGAATTACCCAAGAGGGTGTTTCAGAGCTGCCTGCCAAAGAGTGGTGTCTTCTAATCTCGAGAGCAGCTGCCGGGCACAGGCATGCAAACGCACACACATACACACAGACACACTCACAGAGCCTCTACCTGCCTCTACTTGTCTGTTCTGGGCAGATGGCTCTCGGTTTTTGGGTCGCCTCATCCTGCAGCCCACTTCAGTTAGAACCTTTCTTCTGTGGAGACTGGCAAGCCGTGGGGTGAAGGATTCGGCAAAGTTGCCTGTCTTCAGAGTATGAAGGACGCTTTCCAGAGAGGAAAGAGGGTTATATTCAGTGTTTGGGCCCAGTCAGTATTGGGCTCCCCACTGCCTATCCTTTGCAGAACTGTCAGTGGCCTCTGGTTGCAAACTCTCCGTGGCTTTGAAGCCCACAAAACAAAAACTGAAAGAGTGTCCAAGAAGAAGAGAAGAAAACGTTGTTGGTCCCTGGATTCCACTATTGGATTTTGGTGGGGATGAGAAGAGAGAACTGCTGGGCATAATCAAGCCAAGGTACATGCACATTAAGGTAAGTGTCTCTGTCGCTGCTCAGAAGAAGCTTTAGGGTGATGTTTCTGTATTAGCCAACATCTAGGAGCAGGGTCTTACGGATATTAAACAAGGGGATGTAGTAAATCTCAGGTATGATCAAGAGCTTATAACAGATGAGCAACTTTTAGGCTAATGTGTGTAAGAGCCACTTGCGAAATAGAGAAACTGTCTTGACAGTAGATAAGTTTTGCTAAATTGGTAGGGATGAGAGAAAACCAAAATGAAATTTTAAATTGCTATCCTCTAAGAGTAAGACATATGGTCAAAAATTAAAAAAAAATAGGTTTGGGAAAATGACTTTTCCCAAGCAGCTTGTTCTTGTAAGCTGCTGTGAATGATCAATATATAACTTCAAAATCATCACAATGTTATGAAAATGGAGAAGTACACTGGATTGGAGAGAAGGAATTCTCTTCATGGAAAAAGAGAAGAAACCATCAACTTAACATGGCAACTAGATTGCATTCTTTTCTTTACTTTAGTTCACATTTTTTGGATGACTGTAAGAGAATAGAAGGATATTTTTGAGGTAAGGTTTTTAGAAGATTTGGGGGAAATACCTATCAATTCAAAGAATATCACTGGATATCTACGGGCACATCTCACTGTCAATGGGAAATGATGCTAGATTGCTGCCAAATGATGCCAGAGAAAATTCTGCTCACTGTACTTGCTCTATGGGAATATTATTTATTCAATATTTAGGGTGACTACATAGTTTTGAATATAGGAGCTCCATTCAGCATAGATACATATTCATCTAAAATGATTATAATATAGTCGATTATTCCTTTTCTCTTAATGACAACTGATGATCACATGTCTTTTCAGTATCTATGCAACTCTTGGGAAGATTATAAGAAGTATAATACAAATATTGTTTGACAACACTTAACCATATTCCATCTGTGTATTAGGATTGTATAAAGTAGGACATAGAGTGGCATGCTACTGGAGAGAATTCTTTCAATTTATGGCAGTGTTCCTCCAGCTATAATTAAAAATGCTTTCCCTATGATGACACCAATATATCAATCTTCTGTCCCTTAAAAACAAATATTCCAAGTAAATATATCTCTACCATTATCAGTTAACATTATTATGAAATTCCCATTAGGCTTAGTTAAAAATAAGGATAAACACTTTAAGAGTTCTTTGCTATTGAATATTTCTAAAGACAGCAATAATTTTCATGGGCTATTCCCACTTCTTTAAAACAAATATGTAGGGCAATTAAGACATGTCACTCTGATGAGAATTTTCCAAATGATTTCCCAAAAGAATGTAGGGTTTGGGTTCTTATGATAACCAACACAAAATTATGCTATAAAAGTTCTGGGGCAAAGACAACTACTCTTATTAGCAAAGTTATACAATTTTTTAATTGTCTAGCTTCTGTTCATGTGTCATTATGTTTTTTGCTTAAACTGTTATTGAATCAAAGAATTTGTTACCTAAGAATTGGTCTTAGGTGGCATTGTCACTGGAGATGGAAATACTTCACTGTGTTTTCAAACTGATGGTGCATTTGATAGAGCACTATTGTAGGAAACTGATACTGCAACTTGTCAAGAGTTGGGAAAGATGAGAAAAAACAACAGTAAAGGGCCTTGTGTGCTTTTCTTCAGAACAGAGTCCATATTATTGTCTTAACCTAAAGCAAAATTTTCATTATCACTGAAATATATGCCTCACCTCTCCAATATGTTGTATTAAAAAACATTTAAAGAAATGTTAGTTCCTTTTATTTTCCTTAGAACAGAACTAGTGACCATCAGCATTAAATAACCATTCATGATGAGCACAGAACACTATTTGTTTCATTATAATTAGGGGAAACATTTTCATAGTAAAGGGCTTAATTTGCTCATTTGTTCATTCAGCAAATATTTTAGAGTGCCTTATAGGCACTTATAGCAAATATTTTAGAGTCCCTCATAGGTCTTACTACGTGCCTACTATGGGCTGGGTTACTGGGGATATAGCAGTGAATAAGGCAAATACGGCTTTTATAAGTGCTGAGTATAGGGATCTTCACAGAGGGGCTGATTACTAGTGATCTGAACCTGCGTACAATGCATGCTTTTTTACCATGGTAAGTATTTTATCCTTCATTTCTGATTAAAAGTTAAGGACCAGAAAACTTCTTCCCTACTTTAAAAAGGGTTATTTAGTGTCTGCAAGGTATGGAGGCAATTCCAGAGACCAACTTAACATCAATCAAATAACCAGGTTCATATATACATTTTAGTAGAAATACTTGAGCCTTCTTTGAAGGATGTTGACATTTCTGTTGAAGCTACAGATGTTAAACATAAAAGGCTCACATATTGATAGTGTTTGCTCCTTCAGAATTGGGTCAGACAGGAAGTCTCTAAGGAAGACATCAGAACAAAATCTGCATTATAGCCTCATAGCTATCTGGGGTTCAAATCTGACAGAAGATCAAGATATTTCTGTCTCCTCTGACAAAGACAGTACATCATTGGAAGCTACATATGAAAGAACAGCAGTACCATTTTTCTCACCCTGAGGAGACTTTTTATGATAGCCTTAATCATAACAACGTCATTTTAGCCCTCCAGGTGTTTTACATTGTTAACATAATTCAAGTATCAGTCACTCACTTGATCCTATAGTGGCCCTGTGCGATAGAAAAGGCAGGTATTATCCCCTATTCAGCAGATGGAAAAACCAGGTTTTAGACATCTAAGGGACTAGCTCAGCTAATTTTCTCCCTAATGCACAGTCTCATTAAGTAATTTCTCAAATGAAAGAATAGAAAAAGTCTGAGTTTTCTGGGGAGCCTGAGTGGCTCAGTTGGTTGAGCACATGGCTCTTGATCTCAGCTCAGGTCACGATCTCACCATTCGTTGAGTTTGAGCCCTGTGTCGGGATTCTCTCTTTCTCTGCTCCTCCTCCACTTGCACACTTTCTTTCTCTCTCAATAAGTAAACATTTAAAAAAATAAATAAAATAATAAAAGAAAAAGTCTGAGTTTTCAACATGAGAAGTCATAGCTGCAACCAATACTGTTTAAAGGTGATAGCGGCCAACTGGCCTATGCTGACAGAGGAGAGCTTCAGGCCTTCCCCAACCCTATCCTCTTCCTGCCTTCATCTCCCTTCTAGGTACTCACCCCACAGTTCTCTCCTCTGGCTCTTGAAAAATCAGTTTAGTTGCTAAAAGAACTATAAGCTACTGCTTTCTTCTTTTTAGTACAGGAACAGTATAGTATATCAGTATATTCACCTACATGTGAATGCAAATGGAATTTTAAACTGCTGGTTAATGCCACCACCAGCCTGGCAACATAAAACACTGTGTCATCAGATCATACCAATTATCCGCCAATCCAGATCCTGCTTTTGGTAGAAGCATAAGTGGGCCCTTGAGAGAAGCAGTTCATCATGAGGAAGAGAGAACAGCACAGGAAAAAAAATTCTCTATGTGGAAAAACAGTAAACATGGTTAACTGAGAGTTATAGCAAGATAAGTGGAGCTGAAAAGAACAGTCTTAAGTCAATGAAGAATATCTTTCTGATGAATTTTGAGAAAGCACACAGATCTGCTGATAACTAAGCTACTGAAGGTAGCAGTGTGTAATATACCACACGTAACTATTACTGTTACCAGCTATGACTGATTAAATACACAAGACTTCTTTTCTTTCTTAAAATTTTCCTCAAATTTATTATATACCTATTTAAGGTTTTTGGAAACTTTTAACTATTTTCCTGTCATGTTAGTGGCTTGGAATGAATGTCACTGGTCTTCGTGATGGATCTAGGGACAACCCCTTGACTAGGAAAGTAGAATTCAGGGGATGACAGCAGTGTGGATAAAGCAGAGGCTGATTCTGTGCTTCTCCTTAGAGCTGTTGCTCCTGGGCCTGAAACAGAAAGACACAGGGCAGCTGCCTCTGAGCCATGGTATTAAGCTGCCAGGTTGTAAGTAGGGACACCAACATCTTGGTTTTCAGCTGCTCTGAACATCTTCACATGAAGCTATTTTAAGAACTGTTTGCATTTGATCAGGGAGCATGTGGGGTTAAGCCTTGAGTTTTCCATTTCAGTTTTAGATCCTAAGCAGGTGCAGTTTGTAGTTCAGAATTTAAAATCTTATTATTGTATTTTCCCCCAGCTAATTCAAAAATGGCTTTTTTTGGAGGACAAAAGCCTGTGATTGAGAAGGAGACTGGTTTCTCAAATAAATTAAAAGTGCTTAGTACTTGAATTAAAAAAAAAATCACTGAGATTTTTCATCATAATTCTTGTTTGGCACATTTTGGTTAAAATATGAAAGAATAAATAAAATCATTTGGCTAGAGTTAGAACAATACATAACTATTTCTGCTAAGGCCCATTAATGGAGCTCTATATTCTACTCAGTTTGCTTGGAATATTGCTGACAAGGATACTATTGTGTATTAGGGACATGTAGGATTGTCAGACAATATCACACTGTGATTTACCACTTGAACTCTGACAATTAGAGAAAGGTATCCTCTAAGACTCATTCTATTTCCTGGAGGTTCATAGAATTAAAACAAAAGTAAAAGCAACACAAAACAAAAATCCTTTCTTTTAAAAATGTTTTAAGCTAAGTATCTG